CCCCAGTCGCTAATGCCTTTCTCCTCCACTCAGGTCATGACTATCCTGATTACAATCAGCATAAGTTAGTTTTGTTTTCTGGAACCTTGTTCTCATTATATCAAAGAAGGTTTGGGTTGTTTTGTTTTGTTTTTTGTTTTTCCTTTTCAGGGTATGTCATGAACTTTGGAGAACTCTGCTCTGCCAGCTTTGGGGCCACAGATGATCTCTTGGTATCTTCCTACACTCCTGTTTGACCTTGACTACATTTGGCAGTTTCACCTCATTTGTTGTGGGTAGGGGTCATAGATCCTACTTAGTTTCATCAAAGATGGAGCTACATTTCTTTTTTGCATTGGTTTTATTGTGCTCTCTGGGAGGACAACAGAGCAATGTGGTCCTTTAACTATAATTTAAAAACTGGAATATACACTTACAATTTATATTGTTCATACATTTTATTTATATGTCCTTCTTATGCTAAGATCTATTTTAGATTGTCCCTAATTGCTAGTCATTTGATCTTGTAAAAACTGTTTTGTATTTTTTTGTAACAGCAACTGAGGCATGAAAATCTGGTGAATCTGTTGGAGGTGTGTAAGAAAAAAAAACGATGGTACCTAGTCTTTGAGTTTGTTGACCATACCATTCTTGATGACTTGGAACTCTTTCCAAATGGACTAGACTACCAACTAGTTCAAAAGTATTTGTTTCAGATTATTAATGGAATTGGATTTTGTCATAGTCACAATGTAAGTATTTAAATAATTATTTTGCCAATGATTGAATCTCCAGAGAGCAGTCACTTAATTTAATGAGATACTTATTTAAAGTTTGGACCAGTAAAGTCATAGAAATGAACTGTTACTTTGATATTGCCGCTTTCCATGTGTCACAATACATGTATTCTTTTCTCCAACATTTTATTATGAAGAGTTTAGGCCATACTGAAAAGTTTAAAGAGTGTGCCATGAGCACCCATATACCTACCACCTGGATTCTGTACTTGTTAATATTTTTGCTGTATTTTCTTTATGATATATTTACTTATCTATTCATATACTTATCTTTATTAATGTCTTATGCATTCATAAGTAAATTATAGATGTCAGGACACTTCAACTCTGAATACTTCAGTTATGCATATTAACTAGAGTTTAACATTTGTTTGCTTTTTTTGAGGTAACATTTACTGAGTGAAATGCACAAATTTTAAGTGGTGGGTTTTGACAAATACATATACCCAAGGATCCATGTATATTACTTCAGATTCTCTTGCTGAGTTGTGAAGTATAAAAATCCCTACTCTTACCCTATAGTCTGTCACAGTAATTTTATATCCTTTGCATATCATATAAAAGCACCTCTAGCTCTGGCCGGGTGGCTCAGTTGGTTGGAGCATCGTCCTATACAGCAAAAGGTTTTGGGTTCAGTTCCTGGTCAGGACACATACTTTGGCTGCTGGTTTGATCCCTAGTCGGGGTGTGTACGGAAGGCAACTGATCGACGTGTCTCTCTCCCTCTCCCTTCCTTTCTGAAATCAGTGAACATATCCTTGGGTGGGGATTAAAAAAAAGCACCTCTAAGTAAAATGACACAAAGTACAGAATGGAGAACAACACATTTATTCCTCTGGTTTTACAAAATGTTTTAAATGACATTTTTTGTGTGATTATAAAAGTGATAGATGCTGACGGTAGATGTGGGGCTGGCCCTATGAGCTCACCATGGATGTCTAGGATGTAATAGAACTTCTAGCCTATACAAAATGTTCAGCAATGGCAGATTGCCGTTTAGGATACTGATCCCCTGAAAGAGTTTAAAAAATATATATATATTTAATTTTTTTTCAAAATACTGTTTACTTGTATCAGAAAATTAGTTCTAATATTGTTTTGCCTAGCTGTAGAATTTTAGTATTGCCTCCCAGTGTTCATATTTTCTCCTTTACAAATCTTAACTTGTTGACCCTCTTTACATTTCTAATTGTCTGAATAATGCCTCCACTTGGGTGCTCAGCAATCCACAAAAAGCCCCTATGGCTAAAACTAAACTACTGGTTATTCCATCAAAACTAACTTTTTTTAGACTTCTCAGTTTTGGTGATGAAACCACCATTCTTTTAGATTCCCAGGTTTAAATAAATATCTGAAATTACTTCCTAAGCTCTACTGATGCCTAATTTAAAATATTTCTGAACTATGGCTCCTCCTTTCCATTCCTCTGAGCACTAGCCTAGTTTAGGCCCTTATTACCTCATAGTTGTCCCACTGCTCTGTTCCTTGACTCTACTCCCGCTCTCTGATTTAGCTTGTTTATGTCCAACATCTTTAAACACCATATTGGCCCTTTCTCTTCCACGGGTTTCCATGGCCTTGGCAGATGCTCAGACTTCTCAGGCTGGCAGTTGAGACATCCTTCCTCCTTAGTACATAACCCCTACTCTAGAAGTAACATTTCTCTAGAGCCTCCTGGTCTATCTCTGTCTTCATTCTTTTGCTCTCTTTGTTGCCTTCACTTGGATTGCCCTTTCATTTCTACATTTATCCAGGTCATACTTAGTATTAAAGACCTCAGAGCCCACCCCTTTCATACAATTTTTCCTGACCACCCAATCTTCAATTACAGCTTTACTCTCTTAGTCTTGAGAGCAGTGATGAACAGAACAATTGGTTTTATAATTACATATATATATATCATCTAGTATCTTTGATTATTTATATACAGTTTTAAGCATAAATGTTATTGCTTGCCCAACTAGATTTCCGGTTCTTTAAAGCCAGGAAGAATTTCATATGCTTTTATTTCTTTTCATTATAGGGACAAAAACACTGCCTTACACATGGCAGGTGCTCAAAAAATAATAAATTTGTTTAACTTGATGTGCTAATATGTTATTCTCTGTTTTTTATTTCGTTTTTGTATTAGATCATACACAGAGATATCAAGCCAGAGAATATATTAGTGTCCCAGTCTGGCGTTGTTAAGTTATGTGATTTTGGATTTGCACGGACTTTGGCAGCTCCTGGGGAGGTTTATACTGATTATGTGGCAACCCGATGGTACAGAGCTCCAGAACTATTGGTTGGTGATGTCAAGTATGGCAAGTAAGACATGGTGGTGGTGGTGGTGGGGTTAATATGTTTCTAATATAATAAAAATTCCTCTAACACTGAAAGGGAGTTTTGAATTTAGGGAACTTTATAAATTGATTTGTAATTTTTGGTGCTTCCCCTTTAAATATTCTTGTGAAACAACTTGGGGTAAGTATACTTTTTTTAAAGGTAGGGAAATCAAGGTGAGCAAGTGGTCTTTTTTTTATAGTGGTTCAGAAATAGGTATACTATTTTTCACTTGTAAAGAGAGGTATCATTGATTGGATAAGTCTGACATTGTTGGAATGAGGTGAGGTGGAGTGGGCAATGGTCAGGGTAGAAATAATTGAGAAATGTTTTTAAAACATAAATTATTTCCATAAGTAAATTCTTCAAAGAAGAGGGGGTTGTAACTTTTACTGCTTTTACAGAAATCTTTAAAAAATATTTTTTATAATTTCTGTTTTCAGAGTATGTATCATTTAATATTTTTTTGGTTACTTCAAGTTCTCATTTTACTGCCATACTGTAACTTTTATATCATTTTATTTTATTTTTTTATTTATATATCTTTATTGATTTCAGAGAGAGGAAGGGAGAGGGGGGGAGAGAGATAGAAACATCAATGATGAGAGAGTCATTGATTGGCTACCTCCTGCACTTCCCCTGCTGGGGATCGAGCCCGAAACCCAAGAATGTGCCCTAACTGGAATTGAACCGAGATCTCGTGGATCCTAGGCTGATGCTCAACTGCTGAGCCACACCCCGGCTGGGCTTATATCATTTTATAATACAGCTATGACCTTGAGCAATTTCAAGATAGTTGTCCCTATGCTAACAATGCCAGCATATTCTTATGCTGATTTTAAAGACAGTTTATTCTAAACTGATTTTAAAGACAGTTTTTCTATTCTTTTTCCCTATTAGCTTTCAGTTCTCCTTCTTATTACTGTATGTGTCCCTAATGACTCCTCCTGGTAGTTTTCAGTGTAGGGTAGGATAAACTGATTAACCTGTAAGAATTATGTGTAAACAAAGAATGAGTAGGCTCTAAATGGAAACTCAGAAGGCTTATTTTCAGAATAAAGTACACATGTTTTGATTTTTTAGAAGCCCTTTTCCTTTGTCACATGATTGAAGTTTCTGGAAACCTGACTTACATAAAATGGGGAATTAGTACTTTTAATTTTATAGAGAAATGTGTTTTTATAGGTAAGATAAAGCTTGCTACTACTCTTCTCAATACCTAGAATACTCGGTAGTAATATGCAGAGCAGATTCAGTCACAGTAAACACATTAGGACCCCAGATTTTACCCATATTGCTTTTCTTCCAGGGCTGTCGATGTGTGGGCCATCGGCTGTCTGGTAACTGAAATGCTCATGGGGGAACCCCTCTTTCCTGGAGATTCTGATATTGATCAGCTATATCATATTATGATGTGTTTAGGTAAGATTATACGCCTGCATTTTAAATTTTAGAGGTTTCCTCCTATGTTTTTTGCTTGTTTGCATTGATTTAGCAAGGTAGGAAGCAAATAGGAAAACTTCATTTTCAGTCTGGCCTTGGTCTGTGTGATATATGGCCTTAATCATACTTTCACCCACCTGTAAAGACTGCGGGGTACCACCACGTTAAGAACACTGTCTTTGGTTGATTTTGCAGAGAGAGCCCCACTTCCCCCTGAACTAAAGAACAAAAGTTATACATATTTCTCTGCACTTTTGCATTCAATAAGTCACCCACAGACAGGATGCAAATGATCACTTATTACCTGTGGGTCACCAAGCATTGGGTGTAATATGACTATACCCTCATCCTCACCTTCAAATTGATAGACACAGAGACTTCCAAGGTAGTTTAATCTTGCTGCAGACATGACTTTTGTTGTTAGTGCTTTGGATGAAATGTCAAAGCTAGACTGTCACAGTATTCTTACATTTGTTGAAATAATCAACTTCATGTTGGGAGACAGAGCTTGGAAAATCGAAACAATGGTAAAATACTTGGGGCCTATTTAATTATTGGATTTTAAGTCTGTAGGTTAGAAATTCAACAAACAATATAATGGTTTCATATGTATTTTATGCTTGAATAGGTATGAAGTTGAGAAAAAAGATAAAAGTGTTCAAATCAGACCTTAGACATAGTTACAAATTCAGTTGACCAAAAATTAAATTCCTAAACAGTAAGATTGATATATCTAGATTAGATTCTAACCATATGACTCTTAATATTTTCGTTGCTTTAGTCAGCACTTTTATGCTTTGGTGTTAGAGATGAAGTGCTGGTAGTTATATTTAAAAAATTATAAAATGCTTTACTTCTCCTTTTCCTATGCTCCTCATGTCTTTAGTTCTATGTTTACTACCATGTGAACTTTTCTAAATGGGTATGTTGAAATAAGAATGTTCATTTCCTTGGGTTGACTTAGGTCAAAACTGCTAGAAAGACTGCTGGTGCCACCACGTTAAGAGCGCTGTCTTTGGTTGATTTTGCAGAGAGCCCCAGTTCCACAAGCTGTGTTCCGCTTTTCTCTAATCCACATCACCTGTCTCTCTGCCATTTCTCTCACAATGCATAATGACAGAGATGGGTGCTGTTCTCCCCTCCAGGTAATCTCATTCCAAGGCATCAGGAGCTGTTTTATAAAAACCCCGTGTTTGCTGGAGTAAGATTGCCTGAAATTAAGGAAATGGAACCACTTGAAAGACGCTACCCCAAGCTCTCCGAAGTTGTGATCGATTTAGCAAAGGTAACCATACTTTTTCTTTCACTTTCTGACAGGGAATTTATATTATTGAGACTTGGCTTTCTATTCTTTTTGTTCTTGTTTAGTTGATCCTTCAGTTTAACAATTTCATGTATCTGTATGTGTGTGTTGAGGGGTGGGGGTGGACTTCAGAGATAAAGACTTGAAAATTTCACGTAAGAAATCATTTAGTGCTATCTAGCATGTTTTAAGTGTGATGACATCCTCATAATGATTTTTAAAATATTTAACATTAAAATCCAAGCCTGTTTAAGTGGAAAAGAGGAGAAAAGTAGGATAAGAAAATAAAAAGAAGGTAGAGTAGCAGGAAAATTAAAGTATAGGGCATAGGATTATGTCCTAAGGTGTATTATTACACTTGATGTTAGCCAGAAGGCCAAGAAGCGATCTGTGGTGTATAGTTAGAGGGGCTTTTGCTTAGCCGCTGGATTTGCTGAAGCTAATTTACATATTATCATTACCTTTGCCTTGTGTTTGATTGAGGAAGATATTAGGAGGAGTCTCAGTGGATCAAATTGTCTCTAAAAGTGGACATTTTGGAATTATTAGCTCAAAGAATTCTTATTAGTTAGAATTGTCCTACAGTATTGATAAAATAAGTACCTCTAAGACACCAGGATCACATAATATTTATCCAGGATCTTTTTTTGCTTTTTAAGTTTTCTATATAGCTCATTAAAAAAGTTTAGTGAACTTATAACTAATTTTAATAAGCTCTCAGAGTAATACATTTCTACTTCTCTACATAATTCTCTACACATGCAAATATTTTTCATTGAGACCTGCTTTATGATCTATCTATAAAGTGATTTATAGGAAATAAAAATAAAATTATTGTTTAGTTTATGTCCCTTATAGCAGAATCATATAACTTCTAAAACATTTTATTATAGAAATTTTCAAACAGAAAAGAAAGTAGAAAGAATAGCAATACAGTGAACCCTCATATACCTGTCATCTGGCTTCAACAATTAGCAACCTCTCGACAGTCTTCTGTCATCTGTCTATATCCTCCTTACCCTTTTCTGGAGCATTTGAAGCAAATCCCAGATATTATATTTCTCACTTATAGATACCTTAATTATATGTAGAACTTTTCTTGTTCACTTAAAGCTACTTCTTGAGTCCCTTTTATTTTTACTGGCACTGAGTGGTTTCAATTAATCAAAACAAGACCTGCATGATAATAAAATCATCTGTGCAGAGTATCTAGTGCAATAATCAGCACAGAGCAGGTCCTTCCCTTCCACTCTGCAAGGGCTTTACATTTTAAAATTTCACCATAATTTCTTAATATCATAAAACATCTAATGCTCAAAGTTGCATTGATTTTCTCATAATTCCTTCTTATAGTTTAAATTAGGGTTCACATAAAGTCTACATATTGAACAATTAGTTATTGAGATTCTTAATTTACGAGCTCATCTTCATCTCTTCTTTTTGTTTGTTTAAACCTTGCCATTTATTTGTTGAAGAAACTAGGTGGTTTATTCCTTATAACTTGTTCCTCTGTGTCCTGTATTTCTTATAAATTTAAAGTAGAGCTAGAGCTTGATTACAATATCTATCCGGTGGTCTTTCTTTTTGTGATATTAGCAACTGTTGGTGGTCATTGTCTAGATGTGTGCTTTATTCTTTTTCATTTATTATAGATGTTTAAAGTTTATGGACTATAAAGATGTATTTCCTATATTTAGAAATTTAACTGTAGGCAGTTTTTTTTTTAATATGAGCTGTATTTTTTTGTTTTCCAGAAATGCTTACATATTGATCCAGACAAAAGGCCCTTCTGTGCTGAGCTCCTGCACCATGATTTCTTTAATATGGATGGATTTGCTGAGAGGTATAGTACTGACTCAAGTTTTTGAGGTCACCCCAACCTAGAGTTGAAGTAAGGTCTCCATAACAGTAACAGACAGTATTTCTCTACCCACCTACTTTTATAGGATCTCAAATATTTACCACCCTACCTCCATTCACCTTTAGCAGCCATGGAATTTGTAGGAGTGGCTCTGTACTCACTAACTTAGGGCTCTAGGTTTTCACAAAGCAGTCACTTCCTGCTTTTCTTTCTGTCTTCCTGTGGTGACATGTCCCACTCAGGCCACTGATTTCTATGTTGCTACCAGCTGTGTGATGCCATCATCTTGAGTGCTGATGCATTTGCAAAAGTGCCATCTCCTGTTGCTGCCAAACTCATCCCACACCCAGTCGTATGACCCTGCTGACACTGCTGATGTGCTGGAGACCTTGGTGTGCCAGAGCTGTTGGCATGTACTCTCGTGCTGTTTGAGCTCCTGGCATCATTGTAGCTGAGAAAGCAAAAAAAAAAAAAAAAGTGAGATGAGTGGTAATGACATTGCTTTATACTTTTACAAGTCTAATTGATATCTAGCTTAGTAAAAGATACCTGGGTTCTCCCATTTGTTTCTACATTCAATTAGTTGTGATTTGTTGTGTTGTTTGAAATATATGAAACAACTCTGATCTCATACAACTATGTTGTTAGAAAATGGAAGAGTATTTTAATAGTTTTTCAGATAATTGTGGGCATTCTTCTTTGATTCTATACCAAAAACTTTGATGCTATACCAAAACTCGACAGTGGTAGTTTCTTAAATGTTGGTTGTGGAATCTGAAACTACATCAGATAGCTTTTTTTACCCTGTTACGTGAAAATCCATCTTGAGCTTCGAATAGATCTTTTACCCACGTATACTTTTGTAACGTCATACATTAGTCATTTGGAAAATACTGCTTTGCTGTTACGCAGATCTTTAAAATGTTGACATATTTCATTATATAATACAAAAAAGTCACATTCTATCTCATCAGGAAAGTCTTTAAGTATTGGGAATCTGCTAAGCTCACAGTAGTGGATACAAGTTTACCAGAATTCTAATTTTGCATAAAAATTTGAATTTTATTGACGCAAATATTAACAATTGTTTTCCTTGAAGTGACAGTCTCTTTTGTTCATTTGTTAAAAGAAACCGTCTGCCAAATACACCATCTGAATAACAGTAGTTTTTCTGTCAGTCTTTCTTTCAACTAAAAATGTTCTATGAAAAAAGTGGCTAGTGTACTTTGTGTCTCAGGCAATCACACAGTGCTTTTCTTCTTTTTTATTTTAATCCTCACCCGAGGATATTTTTTTCCATTGCTTTTCAGAGAGAGTGGAAGGGAGAGAGGGAGAGGGAAACATCAATGTGAGAGAGACACATTGATTGGTTGCCTCCTGCATGGCCCATCGAGCCTGCACAGGATTTATGTGCTCTTGGCTGGAATCAAATCCGGGGCCCGTTAGTTTTCAGGCTGATACTCTAACCACTGAGCCAAACTGGTTAGGACAGCTCTTCTTTTTAAAAAAAAAAAAAAAAAATTTTTATTGATTTCAGAGAAAGGAAGGGAGGGGGAGAGAGAGATAGAAACATCAATGATGAGAGAGTCATTGATCAGCTGCCTCCTACACGCCCCCAACCGGGGGGCCGGGGAGGTGGGGGCGTCGAGCCCGCAACCCGGGCATATGCTCTGACCGGGAATCAACCCCGATCTCTACTGGATCCTAGGTCGATGCTCAACTGCTGAGCCATGCCGGCCAGGCTAGGGCAGCGCTTTTCTTAAGACAACCATTGCCCTTCAGTTTGCAGCAGAAGTGCTTTTTGCATATTCCCATGTTGTCACACAGACTATGAAAAAAGACATGTGTTCAAGGATTTAGATTTAATAAAATTAATACTTTATCAGGGACATCCTTTAACAAACTGCCTTTTTGGTTTTTTTTAACTGAAAATGTGTGGCTATGAAGGATACAGTGACTGCTGGTGCAGCTCAGCACCACTGCTTCGCTCTTGTTGAGGCGCCAGCGGTTTTACCCACCGTTGCTTTTAGATCATCCGCACAGATGTTAACGGGATGGAAAGGAAGTCATCTTCGCATTGAGATAAGAACAGCTTTCACCTTTTGAACCTCCTGAAAGGTTCTTAGTGATTCCCAGGGGTATACGCACTACCTCTTGAGAACTGCTAATCTAGGGCATAATTTTTCTCATTTTAAACAACACAGCCCAGTTTAATACTCCATCTTTAACAATCAGTATCTTGCAAACCAATTTTTACCTTGATTTATCTTTCTCACACAATCTTATTTTATTGGCAAATGTATTTTTATGCAGGTTTTCTCAGGAACTACAGTTAAAAATACAGAAAGATGCTAGAAATATTTCTTTAACTAAAAAATCCCAAAACAGAAAGAAGGAAAAAGAAAAAGATGACTTCTTAGGCGAGGAGAGAAACACACTTGTGGTGCAGGTAAATGTCCATGTTTTCATGTGTATTAAGTTTTTGTTGTTGTTAATTCTCACCCAAGGATATTTTTTCCATTGATTTTTAGAGAGTGGAAGGGAAAGGGGAGAGAGAGAAACATCCGTGTAAGAAAGACACATTGATTGGTTACCTCCCAAACACACCCAGACCAGGGTTGGGGGTTGAGCCTGCAACCCAGGTACCTGCCCTTGACGGGGAATTGAACCCACACCCTGACACTCTAACCACTGAGCAACACTGGCCAAGGCTTATGTGTATTAAATTTTAAATTTAATATGCCCTTCAGTTTTTGGAGGGGGAAAAAAATGAAGAATAAAAAAATTTCTGAGTGGGGTACAAATGAATTTTTAGCTTTTTTAAAAACGTATCTTCTCTGTAGACATTCTATGTTTAAAAAAATCTTAATGTATCATGGAGTGAGTGCCTGCTGTGTACCAGACTTTGCAATAGGGCTTGTCCAAGAACGTTGCCAGGGATGGGGAATGTCCAGCCTGTGGGCCCTATTCAGCCCATGAAATCATTTGGTCTGGCCCTGCCAAGGCAACCGCAGGTGGGACTCGAAATTCAACAAATCTAGGAGCTTTTTTCATACCTAATTTTTAAGTTAGCTAATTTTTAAGTTTATACAAAATTAATAATTTTGTATGGCCCACAAATGATGTTATAAATATCCAAATCGCCCGTGGCAGAAAAAGGGTTCCTCATCCCTGATAGAACCTTATGTGTGTACCCACATACAAATACGTGGACACAAACACACATGCACACCATTTTTTCCCCTTAAACGATCGGAAAGAAAATGTCATTTTTAGAATTTTATATATTAAGTAGAACATTTTAAAATTGAGATTTGGATATTGAATTTATTTGAAGTTTACTTTTCCTGGTATGAATTAGTTCTTGGTAAGGTAATTCAAATCCACAACCAACCCACTCCCGTTTTCTCAAGTGAACCAAAAGAAGAAACTTGTTGGTTTTGTGTTTCCTGACTAAATATGTAAGAACAAAAGTGGGCATGCTTGATACCTCTTCCAGGTTTTTCCCACTGAAATATAAATTATATACATAGTATAAATCTGATGTGCACAGGGTGGGGCAATAGTAGGCTTATAGGTATGAGTACGTGAAACTCAGAGTTTATTCTTGTTTTATTATTTATTAATTACTGTATTATTTTCCATACAAACAACTGTAAAACTACTTTTGCCCCACCCTGTGCACATCAGAGCTAGTGTGAATTACATTTCCATTCAAAATAAATAAATGCCTGATTAAACCCAGAATCTTGGGTTTAATTTTAATTCCATAGGGAGAATAAAGAAAACAGGCACAGAAGGGTGATATCTATGGAATTCTAGTTTAGTTGACAAGTACTTTATCAGGCAGAGGTGATTTTTTCATTCTCCTCAGATCATTAATGTTATTAACATTTTTATTATTGGTCAGGATTCCAACGCTGATCCCAAAATTAAGGATGCTAGAGTATTTAAAATAAAAGGATCAAAAATTGATGGAGAAAAAGTTGAAAAAATCAGTCGAGCTTCAAATGCTAGCTGTCTCCATGACAACGGGACTAGCCACATCAAAACAGTGCCTTCAACAAGCCTCAGAGATTGCAGCAATGGCAGTGTGGACCACACAAGGAATCCAGGCACGGCCATTCCCCCACTGACGCACAGTCTTTCTGCCGTAGCTCCCAGTAGTAATTCTGGAATGGGGACTATCCCAGGAGTTCAGAGTTACAGGTATGAATTAAGAAAATAAGAACAAAAGGTTGTTAAGGATATATTTGCAAATTGTAAGTGGTCGTCACTGTTGTATTGCTCTCAGGCTTCTGGGTACTCTTCATTCTTGTCAGGCTGCTGTTTCAAAAGACTTTTTGGCCTATGTAATGAAAATTATTAGCATTTGGTCAAAAAATTAACCCGAGTCCTAAGAAAGTAGGGTTGCATTGTTTAAGGTGAAGAGAATCTACAGCTGTTTAGTCTAATGACATGAAAGGAGGTTGTCATAATAAAAGAGATAGTTGGTTTTGAAGGTCTGTTGCTGCATGTTATGGCTATGGGCACTTAGTGGTACAAAGAAGCTCCTTTTGGGAATTTTGCTGAAAGGAAGGTAATTTATTTGGTTGGAGTTGGGAACTGGTGGGAGGCATGAGTATAACAGTAAAGGACAGAATGTCTTTACCAGACCTGTGTGCTTAGTATATTTAAGAACAGGCATTAAATGCTGATTAAACTGCATGTCACTTGGTGCTATGTAATTTGTTTTGTGCTTGAAAAATAATTACTGCTGGTTCTAACTTAAATTTTTTGTCGTTGTTACAGAGTGGATGAGAAAACCAAGAAGTATTGTATTCCATTTGTTAAACCAAATAAAAATGCTCCGTCAGGCATCTGTAATATTAATGTGACCACACCAGTAAGTGAACGGTTCTCAGTGGTAGCAGAGCAAGCAAAGCCATTTCTAGACTTTCATTAATATTAAATATAATACTGAAGAACTGAGAATTTTTTTGGGGACAGATCATAAAATGGAACCTTAATTATGCATATATCTTCCCAGCCTGCCATAATCATAAACGTGAAACTCTTAAAGTTTAAGTAAGTTTTATAAAGTATTATAAATCTGGAAGTTAAAATATAAGATATCATTAAAATGACATCTGTTTTAATTCTTTAGGCAACAGTAACTTTTCTTAACCTAATGGTCGGCGATCAGTTCTTTTTTAGAGTAGGGGGAAGGTAAATTGTCTTATCTTACCCACACTGGATTTTTGGTGAAAGTATATTTATTCATTCAATAAATATTTATTGATTATCTATTATGTATAAGACACTGGAGATTAATGAGTCAATCTTTCTCTTCAAGGAGCTGATGGTCTAGTAGAGGATCATCTGATTAAATCGTAGTGTCAGATTGTAATAGAAGCATGTACAAGGTTCATATGTCTTCTGAAGCTTCCAAGGAGCATTATTATGCATGCTCAAGATAGCTTCTTTCGAAAGTTAAGTTAAATCATCATCACTCTTCCACTCAAAAGCCTCCATCTCTGGGTAAAGACCCAAGTCCTTGTAGAGTCGTTAGGTCCCCCAATGACACTCCCCATCCATGTATCCCATTCGTAGCTCCTCTCGTTCTTGATCAATCTGTTCCAACCACACTGATTTCCTTGTTATTCCTGGAACATGGCCAGACATGCTCCCACATTTAGGTTTTTGTACTTGTTTTCTCTGCTTTAGAAAACATCCTCCAGATAATCAAAAAAATGTTGCTTTTTCTCTTCCTTGGGTTACATGAAACCTTATTATGAGGTCTTCCCTAATATTATTACTCCTTTTGTCTCCTATTACTTTCTCTCCTCTCACCTTGCTTAATTTTTTTCCAGCATATATACTTGACATCCTCTGTATTCTCTTATTTATACATTGCCTGTTTCCCCAGCTAAAATGTAAGCTTCCAAGGCAGGGGTTTGTGCTTTGTTCCCTCACTGCTCTCCCCCACACCGACATCAGTGTCTAGCCCTTTGAAACTGCTTAAGAAATGCTGATGAATTCTGCCAGGGAAAGAGGTATGGACGTATTCCCAATAGAGTATTTTTCTCACAATTTTTTTCTCTACTTTTTTCATTATCCTCGGGGCTGAAAAATATAGCTTTTCTTTTCATCTCTCAGGATTTGGACATTGTATTTGCTTGTCTTTTAATTTTTCTTAGCCTACACTGTCTGTTCCCATAGTACTTTCCTTTTGACATACCCTACTTTTTGATTTCTTTGTGGATATTTTGTGTTTTCCATTCCTGGTCTGCTTTCGAAGATTATTTTGCTCAGTGAGGCTTTTCCAAATAGCCGGCTCAATACCATTTTTCTGGAATTAATATCAGCCTTCTTTCAGGCTCTGCGTAACCATCACTAGCTAGTAATTTTAGATCTTGTTTCTGTTTACCCTTCTTTGGGAGAGGCGATCAAAACAGGAGGTAAAGATGAGTGGGGGAAAACCCAACTGGGAAATTAAGGGAGACACAGCTGAGCCTAAACTTTCTTCAGCTTCCAGGTTGAAGATCAATACCCCTTTCCCTTGCTTCATCCCCTAGTTCTGAGATGTGAATAAATATTATTATAAACATCTCTTATGCATTTTAATTGCCACTCTTTGAATTTGTAAATCTAGTAGTTTGGACTCATTTTTTATTTTATTTTATTTTTGTTTTATTTGCATTTGCTGATAGGGTTTTTTGAACTAATTATTTTATTTTGTAGCCGATTTGAACCAAGAACCTTAGCGCTTATTCTATTAAAAAAACAAACAGAAACATCCAAAAGAAAAAAACTCAAAAGCTAACTTCAGGACTTCTGAGGACTTTGTGGGAGGCAGAGTGGCATAATTCACAGGATGTTACTAAGACATCAAGGAACCTCAGTGGCTTAACACTGTCATTACATGTGTTTGTGTGTGTATTTCATTGTACATACATACATATGTATATACACATACATGTATGATTTTATTATATATAGGGTTTTTTTGTTTGTTTTAAGCAAATCACACACTCTATATATCATCTGTTTTGAAAATGTGGAAAAGATAATAGACTCTGTTTCTCAAGTGAAACAGATTGGAAACATGTCAAATTCATAAAGGAGCAGAGTTGAAGTGCCCCTCCTATTCTTCACTTTATTATCTTTTCAGACTTTATCAACTAAGAAGTAATAATACTAAGATTAGGAAAATAATTGAAGTTGTAATTCTTAATAAACTGTTCCTAGGAGACAGTATCATGTGCTAACTCTGAGGAGCACAACAAGGACAAATATTTTTTAAATGAGTAAGAAGATTACATTGGGAAAGCCAAAAACAAGCTCGGACATGTGACCTACATGGCAAGACGAACTGTTCAAAATTAAGCAGCTATATGCTGAAAAGCTCACAAGTGTTTGTCAGAAGGCCTGACCTTGCTGGCCCGATGCCCATCTGCTAACCTTTTGCTGACTGCCAGGACCTAACTGAAGGTTGGGAGATGGAGACAGAGAAGGAGAAACTCATATCAGCTAGTAATCCACTTGTCAGCAACTTAAATAAATTTACTGAGGAGGAAGTTTGAAATAATTAGATAAACTGTTTTGTGTTATTGCTGTCCTTCAAATTTTGTGTTATTCTGGACCTTCAATTCGGTAAATTTTAGGATATGAATATAGTAGTTAGAAAAGGGGCAAGCCCAGCTTACCTGGGAGCTAATTCATTTGTGTCAACCATTCTGATGCTATTAGGTCACTAGTGAGAAGAGCCTCCTTCAGGCAAATAAGAAAAGAAGAGAGTACTCGAAGACAGATGTCCATTTGCCTGAATTAAACTATAATCATCTCCCTGAACTGAGAGCCTTGGAAGGCACAGGTATGTTTACGATGCTTTTATTTTTGCAGCCCTTTTGTTTACATTATTTAAAATGTACATTGAATGAACAGAATATTAAAAATTCATAGTAACTTTACATATTTAAGGATGTAAATATGTACAGACTTAATGTTCAGTAGGTACACACAGGGGACAGATGTAGAATGTGAAGCACTAACAAAAATGTCTAATTTCCCACTGTGCTTATGGTTGTTTTTATGCAGCTCGGAATTCCAGGCTAGTGAGGAAAGAGAACAAAAATCTTTCAGAATCTCGAATTCCTTCTCTGGCTGCTATTGACTCGCATGCCGCCAGTGTTGCGCTGCATCAGGTACAGAAATACTCTAGGTCACATGGAACTTGGGACTCTTACACTTCCTGTTCAAGCATCTTAGGTGGGACCTGTAAAATTTTGCTTGTTAAATTTTGTATTATGGTTCATTGAACTTGGTACCTTTATGACATACATATTTATATTAACATTTCACAGCTTGGTAGTAATCGATTTTTTATAATTAAAAATGTTTGTGCACACTTGCGGGCTCGTGTGTGTGTGTGTGTGTGTGTGTGTGGCCTAGCTATGGCTTTCATATAACTACAGGTTCTGTAGTAGCTTATAGTATTTCACTGCATTAGCCTCAGAGTTATAATCTACCTTTCAAAGAGTAAAACTCTGAAATTGTTTTTATTCTTTTAAAATGTATTGTCTGTTCGATACTTGGCCCCAAGATGATCCACTTCATCCATGTTAAAGATTTGCTATTCTCTATAGTCATCTTTTTCTATAATTTCTCTTTCTCTTAACTCTTTTTTTTTTCTTTTTTTTCTCTTAACTCTTAAGAATATTTATGCTTCTGCTACTTCTATGTCAACAACAATCATATCACTCATTTTTACATTATGAAAACCAGCAAATTTTTAAATCTCCTGAGCCAACCATAACTCACTACAAACTTTGGATATGTATCATTGTACTTTCCCTTTACTTTTTCAGATTTCTCACCTTTGCTTGATGGCTGGAAACTTTTGGAATTAAATTCCCCATCCTCATTACTTAAGCATTTCCATTTCATAGAGAGCGACTGTGTGTTGCCTCTTTATCTGTGGGGATGCTCTTTTCTATTGTTACTCCTAAAATAATTTTGTAGAGCTCTCTAAACAAGGGGAATAATATTGCTGAGGATGGATTAAGAGGCATTTACCCATGATACTGAGAAAAAGGTTTATTGACTGCTGTTGCTTTGGCTTATCTCTTGCCGACAATTCCTGTAGCAACGTAAGAAAAACTAAACAAATTCCTGTGTTTGAAGATTAACCACTGTCACAAATTTTACATTTAGGATCTACAGAGTCTCAACAAATTCCTTGTATACTTCTAAACTTAAATTTAATGTGGATTTTAAAGGTGCAGAATTTTTCACTTGCTCTTTGAGAATGCACTACTGTTCAAAACCACTTTTCAGCTGTGATATAACCAAATCTAGTCCCAGTCAATGGAAGAAAAGGCTTTGGCTGCCTTCACACTTCTTCAGTATTTTTATTTGTTGTTTTGAACTAATCCTTTTATACATATAAACTGGTTCTGCACTTTTACTCTCAATTTACTTGTTTAATTTCCAGTTGTATTTAAACTACAATAAAGGAGAAAGTAGGTTTATCAAAAGACACAAATTAACACCAAAATAACATGAGCTTATGCATGGAAAATCTGAATGGAAAGAGAAACACCAGGAGACTGAAAGCAAAAGACCTGACAGGCACTGTGACTTGCCTTGCACTCTTACTTTATGTATTCATAATACATTGAACTGTTTCATTTCTGTACATAACAAAAATTTTCACATTTATAAAAATCTATTACGTACCTTCTGGAAAAATCTGTAAGGTCGATTTTAGGTAAAGTGTTGCATAATCCATGGAATGTCTTCACGCCCCCACCCCCTACACACCTACACACATTATGTACTTACATACATAGCTGCATGTTTTCCTGTAAGCGCTGTTTTAGCTTTTCCCCACAAATTCTGATATGTTGTAGTTTCATTATTGTTCAGTCCAAACATTTTTTTTATTTCCCTTGTAATTTCTTCTTTAACCCATGAGTTACTTAGAAATGTTTGTTCAATGGTTAGATATTTGCAAGTTTCCCTAGATATTTTATTATTATTGATTTCTAATTTAATTCCATGTCGTCAGAGAATATACTCTGTATGATTTTGATTCTTTTAGGTTCATCGAGATGTGTTTTATAGCCCATCTATATTGGTAAATTAAACTTGTTCCCTTGAAAATTATGTATATTCTTTAGTTGTTGGATATAATGTTCTATAAATGTGAAATTAGATTAAGGTGATTGGTGGTGCTCTTCAGGTCTTCTATGTCCTTAATGATTTTTTTTGTTGTTTACAGTTTTATCAGTTACTGAAACAGTGCTGTCAGAATCTTTTACGATGACTGTGGAATTTTCTTTTTTTCTCTTACATCTGTTTATTTTTGCTTCACATATTTAAATCTCTATTTTTAGTTACATACACACTTAAATTGTTTTGTCTTCCTGATACATGTCCCTTTTATCATTATGAGATGTCTCTCTCTCTCTCTCACAGTGCTCTGGGCCTTGAAGTCTATTTTATCTGAGGTTAAAATAAACACTCCAGCCTACTTATACTTATGTTTCCATGGTGTATTTTTTATTTTTCATTTACTTTCAACCTATCTGGTTTTTATATTTAAAGTGTTCCTTTTGCCAACAGCATATAAGTAGGGTCTTGTCTTTGTATCCATTCTATCAATTCCAATTCTTTTAATTGGAATGTGTATCAGTTTTCTGTTGCCGCTAACAAATTACTACCAACTTAAACCAATATCCATTTATTATTTCACAGTTTCCATGGGTCAGAAGCCTGGGCCAAGCTGCTTCTCTCCTTAAGAGTCTCACAGGCCGAAATCAAGATGTCAGCAGGGCTGCATTTCTTTCTGGAGGCTCTAGGGGAGAATCCGTTTCCAGGCTCATTCAGGTTGTTGGCAGAATTTAGTTCCATGTGGTTGTGAGACTGAGATCCCTGTTTCCTTGCTGACTGACCCTGGGGGATTGTTCTCAGCTTCTAGAGGGCACCCACATTCTTTGTTTCATGGCTTAGTTCTACCGTCTTCAAAGACAGCAGCAGTGGCTGGATCGTTTTCCTTCTTTGACTCTTTCTTACCTCTTACCTCCTCTTCTGCCTTGTCTCTCTCGCTCACTCTTCTGCTTTTAAGGGCGATGTGATTACATTGGGCCACCTGGAAAATCTCTCCATCGTAGGGTCAGGTGATTAGTGACATTAATTTCATGTGCAAAGTCCCTTCACACAGAAACTAAATTAGTTTAATTGACCAAGCAGGGATAGGCATCTTAGGGGGATATCTTTAGAATTCTGACTAGCACTGAATATTTAGGCCATTAACATTTAAGGTGATTATCATATGTTTGGGTCTAGCTCTGTTTTATTATTTTCATTATTCGTTTCTTATTATTTGTTCCTCTGTTTTCCCTTTCCAGTCTCCTTTAGTAGTTGAATATTTTTAGTGTTAGTTTTTGGTGGATATCTCTTTGTATTATATTTTTATCCATTGCTCTATATTGTGACATATATATGTGTGTGTGTATAACTAATCTGTCACAGCCTACTTAGAGTAAATATTAGGCCCCTATAAAATGTAGAAACCTTACAAACATATTTCCCTTCCCACCAACCTGAACTTTGTTACATACATTGAAAACTCCACAACAATATGTCATACTTTTTGCTTTAAACAGTCATAAATATCTTAATTTATGAGAAAAAGTAGTCTATATTTATCTGGCTACTTACCAATTTTGTTCTTTCTTTTAAAAAAAATTTATCTTTACCGTTGAAGGTATTACAGATGCCCCTTCCTCCCCCCGTGGACCCCCTC